AATGAGAAGTAGAATGAAGAACACTAGAGCAAGTCATACAAGATTCATTGGATGCACGATGAGAATGGTTAGTGTAGGAAGATACTTGGTTCGCCGAGTTTTGGTTGATCAAGAATTGATCAAACCTTTGAGATAGAGATTTCATCTCGGTAGCTATCTTATTTGAATGGTCGACTTAATGTAAGCCAACACTCTTCCTACCTTGGGTATTTCTACCATTCTTTGAAGATAATGTTCTATGCAATGAATTTTCACTCATGCTTTCATAAAGACGCCACACATCATCCTCATGCCTATCAATGTAAGAACCACCCATGGAAGCATCAACCATACCCTTGTAATTGTCCGATAAGCTCTCAAAAAAATATTGACCTAATTGCCATTTGGGCATATCATGATTTGGACACTTCCTAAGCAATTCATTAAAGCGTTTCCATGCCTTATGAAATGTTTCCCCATCCTCATGTGTAAACTTTCTAATAGACGTTCTCATGGCATTGGTCTTTGAAACCGGATAGTACTTTTTCAAGAACTCTTGTTGCATTTCTGCCCAAGAAGTGATTGAAAAAGGCCTAAGATTGTTGAACCAATACTTTGCCTTGTCCTTTAGGGTGAATGGAAAAAAGGTTAAGCCTTAAGACCTCTTCCGGCATGTCCGTATATCGAACGGTGGAACAAACTTCAAGGAACTCATCCAAATGTTTGTAAGGTTCTTCACTAGGAAGTCCATGAAATTTAGGAAGCATTTGAATGGTTTGTGCTTTGATCTCATAGTGATGTGCTCTAAATGGTGGCAATTGGATGCATGTAGGTGCATTATACTCATTTGGCACATAATGGTCTCTTAAAGCAAGTGGTGGGTTAGCTACTTGAGGTGCAACATGAACACCTTGATTTTGAATTCCTTGATTTTGAATTCCTTGATTGATGATGGGAGGTTATGGAGCATACATTGGCCTTGGTATTCCAAATGGAACTTGGCCTTGTTGTTATTGAGGTTGGTGAATGTATGGCCTAGGCATGCCTAATGGTACTTGCATGTTATCATGATGCACATTAGGATGAAGAATACCTTGTTGGTTTATGTGACCAAGGTCCTCAACATGATCATCATTATGGTCTTCTATTGATAGATTGGTTTTATTTGAACTTCCTCTTCCCCTAGGATTTCTAACGATGGATTCAAGATGCAAATCTAAAGGGATAAGAGTGGGTCTCAATGAACGACGACCATGCATGCACAATAACAAACAAACAAGCAAAACAAATGCACAAACACTTCGCCTTCCAACAATGCAATTAAACTTCCTCCACAATCACAATTCCCATGTTTGAAACAACAATGATGCAATGACAAGAAGAATAAATGCCTCCACGCAGGCCTACGATTTAACTAAGGAGATTAAGTCAAGAAAGTCTCACAAAGGTCCTATAGCACTTCAACTCCAAATTTAGCTTAGCTTAGCAATTTGTTTTTTAGAATTTTTGGCTTTTTCCTTTATTTTGCTTAGCTCATTTGCTTAATTGTTCCTTTGCATGGCTTTTCTTCAACTCAATGCACCTAGTCAATCAAGAACAAACATAATGAGTAGTCAAAAGAAAAATAAAAATAAAGTAAAGACACGATCAAAAGAGTACTAATCCTAATTGAATTCCACAAATTCGACATTGCCAAATCAAGTCAATCAATCCCCGGCAACGGCGCCAAAAACTATGGTCGTCGTCCTACCATAAGCTTAAGAGTGTGCATTAAGGCGAGGGCCAAGTTTTACATTTATAAGAGCCTCTACTACCTTCACTATAAATATAGCTAGGGCGAGTAGGGATTGTCCCAAGGGATTGTGAGGGTCGAATTAGGTTGTGGAATTGTGATTAGGGTTCGTAGGTCGAGTGATCAAACAAATGGTTGGTTGGTTGTTTAAACTAGAGAGCAACTAAATTAAACTAAGTAATAGAATGCAATTAAGAGTAAATAAGAGAGAGAAGAGTCTTGGGGTTTAGAGAATACTACCAAGCAATGCATTTCTATACCATTGACAAGTGACTAATGAGGGCAAATGGTGTGTTACAATATTGGTGTGTGTGTGTGTGTGTGTTTAGTTGATTCAACAAGCAAGGATGACTAGTTAAGCATGTATTGTCTAAACATCATGTGAAAGGCACAATATATCTAAGCAATGAAGCATATATTGTCTAAACAACATGTGAAATGCACAATAGATCAAAACAAGTCGTTAATCCTTTCATTAAGCTCACAATCCAAATATACCACAATGTTAGAGACATATGCTACTTGCATTCAAAAGTATGGAACATCAAACAACAAGCATGGATTGTCCTCCCATATAACACTACACTACAACTACACTATATCTATACTACTAGCATGAAAGTAAACTAAGGGAGAGGCATAATCCATCAAGGAATAAGTATGAACCATCTAGTAAATCACAAAAGCATTCCATTAAGCACTATGTTTTAACAATTTCTAGATCTATAGCATTAATACACATAGATATGCATCAATAACACAAAATCTAGAGATAAGCACATGAATATCTATTCTAGCATATACAGACATATGGATATGGATAGAATGAAATGATCAATTGAAAGCATTAAACCATATAAATCAATGAATAAACAAGATCTATATATAACAAAGTGTCAAAACATGTATTACAACACTAATCCCTCAATAATACACAAGATTAAGATATAGAAAGCATGCTTGAGGCTAACTCTAGCCCCAAGAGGATGTCTAGCCATTCATAGTAGTGCTCCTCCAACCTTCAAGGGCAAGCTCTATGGTTGATGAAGAACTCCCAATGGTGTCTCTAGCCTCCTCCTCTTTTCTTCTACACTAAAAATAGCTTCTAAAGTTGCCTCTACCAAAAATGCTAATCTCCCCTCAAAAAGTGTATCATATTCCTTATATAGGTAGGTCAAAATAACACACAAAATGAGCTGGGGTCATGCAAAGCATATTCCCCAATGATTAGATACAAGACAACTTGAATGAGCTGGCTTTTTAACTTTTTTCGCACTGGAGGAAGTTCGATTGATCGAACCTTGGACTTGGATCAATCAAACTTGGCTGAGATATATCGAACTAAGGCTGAATCGATCCAACTGGGGTACGCTCTCCGGATAAGAACAAAGCTGAGATATTTTGAAGATATTTATGGAGAAAAGGACAAAAGTGGTAGGTAGGGTGGTACAAATGGATAAGATCAATCATTTGGATGAGGACAAAGGTGTTGGATCGATCGAGGGATGGTGTTGGATCGATCGAACTTTGGGCTTTCTGCTTTTGGTTCGAGGCTTGGATCTATCTTGAAATGCTGAGATCGATCCATGTTGGATCGATCGAACCTTTATCTTAGATCGATCGAGAAATCTAAAGTCCACCCTTTTGCTTCTTTTTCTTCTTTCTTCCTTCACTTTGCTCATTTCTTTGTTTAATCTCAGAATTGCTTCTTTTAAGCTCTTATTTGGCTGAGTTAGCTTATTTTCGGGATAAGTGCCTAAAAATGGAAATAACACGAAATTAATCTAAAAAGGTAAAGTAAGATAGATAAATGTTCTAGAATATCCAAGCTTTAACGGGTTAAAATGCGCACTTTTCAGTGCTTATCAGGTGCCTACACAATTGAAGGACCAAAACCAAATATCGAAGTCAGTAACAATATGCCATGCCACGAACAAACACTTCCCTTTCCGCCGTTACAATTATGTAGAAAATTATCAATAAATCAGGTATTTCATATTCTTTGACAAAGTAAAATTATGGACAAATCTTATATAGTCCACTTTAATTTCCAAAAGTGTCATTTTCAAATACAAAGCATAGATATGATATAAGATTATTCGATGAGATTGCTGTCCAAAAATTAACTCAGTAAAAACACATTATTTTCATAAATTTATCAAAAATAGCATACTAATCCAAATTACATGAAACCAATTTATTTTCACATGGAACCAGTTCAAAGAATACTAGTTTCAGCTCTAAAACTCAACCAGTTCATATTTTCACATGAAACCAATTCAAAGGGTAGCAGGCGTCTAAAACCAATCATTTCAATTTTCACAAGGAAAGCATCACCAAGAGAGACTATAAGGTTTTGAAATTTTTTAACAATATTTTATAAATGAAATTTGGGAACCTACCTTCTGATGTCCCTCTTAATTTTTCTCTTCCTTTTTCTTTCCTTCTTCTTCTCTCTCTGGCCTTGAGAACCTCCCCTTGCCTCATCACCCATCTCTTTCTCTTTCCTATCCGAGCCAGCCTTTCAAAATTTTTTTTTTTTTTTTCATTCTTTGTCCCTCTGCGTCTGGTCATCCCTCCTTGATCCTTTTCTCATATTCTATTATATAAATATATATATGACTTTATATATATAGTGGCTGAATAGAGGAACTTTTCCCAGCAGCTTTCATCTACTATAGAAGAATACATGTTCAACTCTTCCATGCGCCCAAGGTGGTTTTAGGGACTTCTTTTGATAACTTTTATCCTGCTGTCTCATGCCAAAACCCCCCCTCACATTGCATGGGTAGAAAATGTAACATCCAAAACTCCCTCACATTGCACGGGTCGAAAGTGTGAGCACGTTTTCGTAGTGTTGGCACACCTGCCACATTCGTGCAGTACTACATGAATGCACACACTTGTCTACTTAATTTCTACGATAAGGCTCTATGACTACTGTCATTAATTAATTACCACCATCGCTCACCAAAGAACCCCATTTTGAAACTCAGGATATTACATTGAATGAGTTTGCTTATTCTTGAATTTTGTTGAAGTGGAATTGGGATTGCTTGATGAGGAAGATGGTACAAGACAATTATCCTAGCATGAGAGGATTTCTTGTTTATATATTGGCTTAGGTTTATTTACTTTGCTTTATATTAGCCATTTTCTAATTCATCATGTCTGTAATATTAATGTGTTTTTTTTTATAATAATATTGGAATGATTTAATCCAATTTAGAAAATTGGTTGAGTTGGCTGCCAGCAAATTCCCGTATATGGGTTATCCTCGGCCAAGCGCGTTTTTTTATTTGATGAATTGGTATCCTGCTATATCCGCCGATGCGAGACGATGGAAGAGTTGAGGTAAGATTATTCACTCATTTCTTGTTTGGTTCATTTTTTTTCAATAATATTTATAATATTATGTTTTTCTGACATTTTATTTATGTGATTAGGGAATTGTGGTTCTTTATGAGGACAAATCCATTATTTTATAACAGCGAGAAGCGATACAATTTTGTGCAAAAAGCATTCATGCTGCAAAAGACGGAGTATGATTTTATTAAGAAAGTTTCATTGAACACGAGGTCGATGGATATGGCCGACTGGCACATTGAAGTGCAAGGAGAACATGAGCTATATAATGTCCTAATATATGGTACTGAAGGTAGCTTTTTCGGTATTTGCCTGTTCCAAAGTTTTTCTTTCAAATGGCAGAGAACTATTATAAACTACCTACTAATGATACTAATGAGAGGTAATGTTCACTCTTCTTTCTTTCTTTTTTTGTTTTTTGTTTTGGAAAAATTACATATACATGGAGTCAAAGTTCCATATTTACTTAGAGACTGAGTCAAAGTTCCATATTTCTCTAAAATGGATTGCTGAGGTGGCACATGGTTTTTTACTGTTTAGAAAATTGTGGTGCCTAAAATGCACTTCCCTAACAAAAAAGTAGTACCTTCAGTGTAAAAAAGTAGTACCTTCAGTTCAAAAAAGTAGTACCTTCGGAGAAAAAGTAGTACCTTCGGGGGTGTTTAAAAAACATGGTACCTGGACGCCAAAAAGTAGTACCTTCAGTTCAAAAAAGTAGTACCTTCGAAGAAAAAGTAGTACCTTCGTGGAAGGGTATTTTAGGCACCACAATTTCTAAACAGTAAAAAACCATGTGCCACCTCAGCAATCCATTTTAAAGAAATATGGAACTTTGACTCAGCCTCTAAGTAAATATGGAACTTTGACTCCATTTATATGTAATTTTCCCTTTTGTTTTTCCTATTTTTGTTTTGTTTGGTTTATAATATATCTTAATCTTATTGTAGGGATATGAGCCTACAATCCTTGAAAGATCCTCCCTACCCATTGGGTCGCTATTATATTTGATGGAGAACCAGACCTGGCCTGAGTGCTTGAAGTCTATTTGACCCACACCTATTATTAGAGACGTGGGAAAGAAAGATAGAATTCAGGATTTTGCTTTTATAATTATTATTGAATTTTAAGGTTTTATTTATGGTAATAGGAATTTTAGGCTCTTCTTTGATGCCTATTTATATGTTGGTTCAGACATTGTGAAAGTCAATTTGAATTTTGAGATGGAAAATACTTGAGTTACGGCCGATTGTGCCCTCCTGAGTGATGTGGTTGAATAAAAATCTGACACGTGTTGAGAAATATTATAATATTTAAAATGATAAAACTAAATTATACCCATTTAAAAAGTTTATCCGGGTAGATTCACGTGAAAGAAATCTCATTCTATGAAATCTCCATACCAAACCCCTAACTATCGTCGCCGCCGCCGCCAGTCCCACCCTCTCTCCGCCACCCCTTTAGTAAACAAAGCTTCCTCAAATCTACACAGCCACCAGTTGAGAGATCAGTTCTCTCTCTCACTCCCATCTTCTCCGTAATAGCATGCAGCCAGTGATTGGAATCGCAACCATCGAGCAATATCGTCTCCTTAGGGGTACGATTTGACGGTGACAAAAGGAGAGGCAAAGGAGATAGGAAGTAAAGAGAGAGGACGGAGGCGTAGAGAGAGAGAGTAGGAGCTATGGAGCATCGTAGTGATTGTTTGGTGGTGATTATGGAGTGAAGAGGCGTATTGTGGTGGATTTCCGTTGTGGGTTGATTAATTGTTTGTTTGCTTCCGTGAGATGGTTTGGTGGGTGTTGTGGTGCATAAGCGGCAAAGGAAGGGAGTTGAAAGGGTGATGGAGGAGTGGTGGTTAAAATGGGGTTTCTTGATTTTGGAAGTGTAATTATTCAAATGGGTAGAGAGATTGAGACCGGGTTAAGCCGTTTTAAAATGGTTTAATTCATTTTTTTTTTACTTTGAGACAAGTGTCAAATTTTTATTACGCCACCTAATCTATAGAACAAAGTTTATCCTGATGAGGTAGGACTCACGCATTGTCCTTTTTAGATTTTCATGAATCAAAAAATGGAATCAATGTCGAGAAGAGATATGATGCCCTTGACAAATATTCTTTTTTGTTGAAATCTTTGACATTTAAGGCATTGATTTTATGGGCCCTTTCCTTATGTCTTATGGATATCAATACATTTTGCTTGTCGTTGACTATGTTTCTAGTGGGTGGAGGCTTGTGCTACCAAAACCAATGACCACTCCGTGGTTGTGTAATTCATTAAATACAACATATTCACTCATTTTGGTATGCCAAGAGCTATAATTTGTGATGGATGAAAGCATTTTTGTAATCAATTCTTAAAGCAATTATTTCTTAAGTACTCCGTCACCCATAAAGTCGTCACTCCCTACCATCCTCAAACAAGTGGGCAAGTAGAAGTTTCAAACTAGGAAATCAAACATATTCTTGATAAAATGGTTAATACAACCTGGAAGGATTGGTCATGTAAGTTGAATGATGCTTTGTGGGCTTATTGAACGACATATAAGACTCCCATCGGCATGTCTCGTTATAGACTTGTTTATGGAAAGTCTTGCCATCTTTCGGTTGAGCTAGAACACAAGGCTATGTGGGCAATTAAAAAAGCTCAATCTTGACCTGGACAAAGCCGGAGAGAACCGATTACTCCAATTGAATGAGTTGGAAGAGTAGAGGCACAATACTTATGACAATGCCTAACTCTATAAAAAGAGGACCAAAGCTTTCCTTGACAAACACGTTAGGAAGAAATCTTTTGAGCCTGGTCAAAAAGCTTGGCTTTTCAACTCTAGATTGAAACTCTTCCCGGGGAAGTTGCGGACCAAATGGGAAGGTCCTTATGAAATTATTTCTGTTGCGCCTCATGGGGCGGTTGAAATTCAAAGTTTAAAAAATGGCAACACATTCAAGGTGAATGGGCAAAGGTTGAAACCTTACATTGAGGGACAAGTTTTTCAAAGGCATATGGAAGCTGCCCCTTTGGTAGATCCAATCTATGAAGATATATAGTGATGCATTCATTGGTTTCAAGAGAAAGTTCAATTTCCTGCATATTTTCACTTGTTCGATCGATCTTAAAAGAGGTTTGATCGATCGAACTCCATACCTATATCACACCTGCATATTTCAGCTCTCTGTCCCATCGTGTGAACATTTCCTGCATATTTCAGCTCTCTATCCCATCGTGCGAACTTCATGTTTGATCGATCTGAGAATTCCAAGATCGATCCGGTTTTTCTTAGATCGATCGAAGTTTTATACTTAGAAAAATTTTGGAACCCTCCATATTTCAGCTCTCTGTCCCATCGTTCGATGATGTCTGCAGGATTTCACTTGTTCGATCGATCTGATGCTTCATAACCAATATATATATATATATATATATATATATATATATATATATATATATATTTCAATTTTTCAAAGCAGCATTCCGTCTAGCTAGAGACGTTAAACTTAACACCTATGTTGCATACCTTTTACATTTTTCTTTTTTCTTTTCTAAAAAAAAAAAGAGAAGAGATAGTTTTTATTTTTCATTTTTCATTATTTTGTTCTTACATCCTTTCTTAGTTTTTGGTTTTCATTTATTGCATTGTACATATTCTTTCATTGTATTTTACCCTCTTTATTTTTCTTTTTAAATTTTGTTCATGCATTTTATTCTTTGTTTTTCTTGCATTTTGTCTAGACATGCTTTCATAAAATGAAAAATACCAAAAAGTTGTTTCACCATTGTGCCATTATGTGTAGTCATGCATACTTTCATGCTTTCGCTAGGACTTCATCTCATATCTCTCTTTCATATTGTGCTATATTGTCATAGAATGCATGATTTGATTATTCTTATCCCATTTGATATTTGATGTGAGTTTGCTAGTATGGTTATTCAAGTAGGTTGTTGATTCCAAGTTTGGGGAGACGTCTTTCAAATTGGATCATTGCTGGGCTTCATGTCTTTGCCACCACGGTATACTCTTTCCATCTTTTCCATTGCTCTCATTGCACTTTGAGGACAATGTGCGGTTTAAGTTTGGGGATAAGGTGTCTTTCTTTCATTCTACTTAAAATTGAGCTTTAAATGCATGATTGAAATTGGAGGTCCATAACTAGCCGTGATTTTGATCTTTTGAGGACTATATTGCTTAAAATTTAAAAATTGCTTGACTTGAGTCCAATACTCCTTGTATGCCAATTAGAAGTAAATTTTTTAAAAGATTGATATCACGCTTGCACTTGTGGCCCACATCATCCTGATTTTGTGATTGTTTTAAGATTCACTCTAGGATTCTACACTAGCACAGGCGCACACTAGCATTCATTTGTGGGTTACATGCTTTGTTGATTATTGAATTGGTTATATCCCAATTGGAGTGCATTGAAAGCTTTCCTTTTGACAAAAGTAGATAACAATCCCTTTTCATTGAGTAGCCGGGATTCTAGCCTCATCAAGCACTGAATTTCTCGCGCCAAAAGGTGGAGGGCCCAAACTCTAGGTTAATAACTTAAAAAAAAAAAAAAAAAAAAAAAAAAAAAAAAAGGTTGCAAAAGCAATAAAAAAAAAGTGAGGACTTCCCTCAAAAGGTGAGAAGTGGGAAATGATTAGATGGAGGTTGTTTTGATTTGTAGCCTAGATGATTTGAGCTTGTAAGTCCTTAGGGGTGTTTAAACGCCTAATGCCCTAAAGCCATCCGGTTTGGGAGTCATTGACCTAACGCTCGACCTCATGAATCGCTAAAAAGCTTAATAGATCAACACATTGCACCATGCTTCCATCTTTGATTCTTAGGATAGTAAAAAAAATAAAAATAAAATAATCGAGTGAAAAAAATTAGTGCACCTAGATCAATAAAGTTTTAATAAATGGTTCACTCTTTGTTTTGATAATCGGGACTAGATTTGTGCGCTAGTTTGAGGGAAGGATGTGATCATTTCTTTAGTTGGCTTAGATACTAACATACTTAATGCCGATCCACTCAAAAAGGATTCTAGTGTTGTTTTGATTTGCATGATCATTTTCTTGATGTGTAGAGAACCATACTTGTTTACTTGATGTTGAAATTTTGGGAGATTGCTTAGAAATGGTTGAAAAATTGCATACTTGAGGTAGTTTTCTCCCAATACTTGTTTGTAATATTAATACCTCTTTTGTGAGAATGAGCTTAATGTTTATGGATATCATTTCTGGAAACCCTCACGAGACTTCACTCGTCCACTAGGGGCAACCTAGGGATTTAAAAGGCTTGTTGCATGTGCTAAATGCAATCGTGTTCCCTACGAAAGTGGCGTTATCCATTTATTGCTTTCTAGATTCATACTTGTATAGTTGTTCATTTCACTCATTTACTTTGTAGTTCATTGCTAGGGACTAGCAATATTTAAGTTTGAGGGTGTGATGAGCGCTGAAAAATGCGCATTTAAACCCCTTAAGCTTAGGTATTCTAGGACCTTTATCTATCTTACTTTCCCGTTTTAGACTAATTTCATGTTATTGCCCTTTTCAAGCACTTTTCCCCAAAATAAGTTAATTCAGTCAAATAAGAGCTTAAAAGAAGCTAACTCAAGCTGGATGGAAGAAAGGAGCAAAGTGTGGAAATCATCAGGTTCAATCGATCACAACATTCCTTCGATCGATCATAGCAAGATCTATCTAGACATTTCAAGATGGATCTAAGCCTTTGTCTTTATCCAAAAGATCTCATCAAGTTCAATCGATCCAACCTTCTTTCGATCGATCAAAAATATTCGATCGTATCCTTACCTACCACCCCACCTACCAATTTTGTCTCTTTCCCAAAATATCTCAGAGATTTATCTTTATTCAAAAAGGTGCTGCCAAGGATGATCGATCTCTGTAGTACTCGATGTATCTCACCAATGTTCGATTGATCTCAAGACAGTTCGATCGATCGAACCTCCTCAAGTCCGAAAAAAAATACGTTCCAGCTCATTAAAAGTTGGCTTATGGTGCAATCAATTCAAGGACCATAGTACGCGAGTCCAGACCATTGGGTATAACACTTGAGCCTCCTATATAAGGATTTTGAGCCACTTTTACAATAACTATTCATAATTGATATATATTACATCTTGGAGAGGAGGCTAGAGAGACTAGAGTGAGCTTTTACACTTCTTTGGGAGTTCTTCCATTCTTATAGGGTTTCCATCAAGAAGGAGGCCATTCCTACCATGGAGATAACCCTTGAGGGTTGGATGACTACTTCAATGATTGGCTAGACATCTACTTTGGGCT